AATAAGAGTTTTTGCTAAAAGACAAACAAGGTTGACTCAAAATGTGAATGTTACAGTTTTAAGCACAAATCAAATGCAGTATGTTTTTTTGAACTACTCTTGGCTACAGTCTCACTAAGTTTTAGCTCAATATTTATAAATCTGACTGAATTCCTTTAACTGGCTCCAAACGTGAATCAGTTCTAGTTCATTTAATAATTATTTCCTAAATGTTTCATTTAAATCTGTTCAGTGGTAAACATGTTAAACAAAGATCTTGCATAATCTTATTATATATGTAGGATCAATCTCAGCTACTACCCCGACAATTTAAGCTCAATATTTGCAATATTGACTGAGCTTTAGCCATTTTTGCCATTTTTGTTTTGTTTTTAAGGTCACTTGACTGTGACAAAATATTAGCAATAATTACTTTTTATCAAATGCCATTAACCTTTTTTGAGTGGTTTGTTTGATATTTTGCTAACACACACACATATATGGGTAAAAATACTTTTGTCCACCATCACCTTGCGGTGACTGGCAATTAAAACATTGATTTTATGTTATTTTACGAACATTTTTTATAACATTTTTTGTTGGACTGAAACATGAAAGCATAACAAATAATGCTCAAAACTCCATTAAATGGTGTAAAGGGCCAAAAAGCCTGTGTGATGTCAGTCAGTGATCCAGGCAGATGAAATGTGTCAGTGAGCGTGTCCGTCACACTCATGCTTCCCCACTTACAGCATGTTCTCTACATCTCTGCATCTGCATTAACAGCCCAGCTGGAGCTCACCTGTGGGTTACAGCTGTCTGACACAAACACTTATCAGATCATATGATCACCGAGCCACCGCGCTCAGACTAATACTGGGAACACACAGGGTGTGATAAGAGGCAGCCGTGGCAGCTGGCAGGTCATGTTTTTTCTCATCCCCACCGGACCACGGAGTTCAGTGTGAGGCAGCCGGAAGAGTCAGCCTGTGGAAATGAGATTAAAAGAGACACTGTGGATTTCATGTATTTGCTTTGGTCGGGGGTTTTGTGTAATGAGTGGAATCCAAAGCCAGCTCAGCAACATGGGTGAGGCTTTTACAAAGTGTTAGTTCAGCTCCCTCATACAATAACAGTTGCCATCTTTGGGGACTCACTAAAGCTGGTGAGCTGATTGGCTTTCCGCAGCTTTACAGGACTAGGCAGAAGTCTCCAGCCACCTCTTACGTTCTCAAGCTTTGATTCCAAGGCGCCAGATGTTTGTGTAATTTTTTAAAAAGATGCCTTGAGTGCAGGCTTCCTGGATATTTACTGCCTGTTGTTGCTGTTAAATTTGCTTAAAGTGCTAAAGATAGCACAGTTTACACACATGAGGGAGTTATGTGTTTTATGTTTCACTAAGACATGTGGCTTTTCTATAACCATTGCTGGGAATATGCAATTACCGTATTTTCCACCGTACACGTTGCACCGCCCTATAAGTCGCATCAGTCCAAATATGTCTAATAAAGTGGGAAAAAAACATAAATATGTTGCTTAGCTGTATACATCGCATCTATTATGTGTCACCGCTGACGCATCACATTTGTTACGCATCACTGCTGACAACCCGGAAATGTGGGCCGGTGTTGTGCCAAAAATCGATTGGCCTTAATAAATGCACTTTGACGGTCAAATCAGCTGCATTTCAAAAGCCGATGCACAGAAAACAGAGCACAAAGAGGGCATCTCGCTGTGCATTTCTTTGAAATTTAACAAGATAAACACTTAAAAACAATTATTTGTTTGCTCGAAATTATGGTAAAGGTGTGTCTCGGTCTAACTTTTCCTTAATAAAAGGACTTTAATGGTCAAATCAGCTATATTTCAAAAGTATTTGCTGCCTTGGTGCTCCGTGCAGAGAGAGGAAATCAGGAAGAAGGAACGCTGCACATTTCTTTGAAATTTAACAAGATAAGCGCCTAAAACAGTTTTTCTAAATTATAGTAAAGGTGTGTCTCAGGCTAACTTTTCCTTAATAAATGCACTTTGACGGTCAAATCAGCTGCATTTCAAAAGCCGATACGAGGAAACAGGAGTGCGCAGAGGGACGAGTCGCTGCTCGTTTCTTCTAAATTTGACAAGATAACCACCTAAAATAATTATTTGTTTGCTTGATATTATAGTAAAGGTGTGTCTCAGTTGAACTTTTACTTAATAAACGCACTTTAATGGTCAAATCAGCTTCATTTCACAGGGGTGACGAAATGAAGCTGATTTGACAGTTGCTCCAGGCATGATCCTGGAGCTGGACGTAGGTGGCAAGCTGATTGTGTCATTAATAACCACTTTTACCTATTACATGACACAACGGCATGCCATACTACTCAAGTGCCATCTAGCGGCTGAAAATGGTAGTGTTCAATATTTTCCGTCAGAATGAATGAATCTCAGCCAAAAATTGTTTTATAAATGTGGGGAAAAAAAACATAAGTTACTTTGCTGTATAACTCGCAGGGCATGCAAATTAGGCAAAAAACTGCAACTTATTGGCCGGAAAATAAAGTACTAAAGTTCAGCAGTCATTTGAGAGAGTAGAAAAAAGGAATCTTATAAAAGAGAATACATTTTATTGTACTGTCTGCTAAACATAGTAGAGGTGGTGTCATGGTTTTGCTTCACCTGATCTTAAACTTTGCATTTACAATAGAATATATCTGTACCATCCGGCATCACTGTTTGCACAGAATTCTGTTATCCAACCTATAAAACCGCCTTTGTACATGATTTCAGTTGTGATAAAACCCAAGAAAGATGCCCGTAACATCATGCTGAGGTCAATTGTCTCCTCAGGCTGCTGAGTTTACATGGAAACTGTTTCCGTTTTGCTGAAAGCTGGGGATATGATCAACATGATGCCCACGAGGGAACAAAACTGTAGTTCTCCAATTATACGTCTTTCACTGCAGGTTTCTTCACTCCCCCTCAGAGAAACCGTCATTCTTTGTACATGGTTGTTGCAACGCAGCAGAAATTAAATCATTCACAGATATTTTGGGCAGGGAAGGGGAAAAAGTGTGAAAAAATGTGGAGGATCAAACAAAAGTTTAAAAAGTCTTTCAGCTATTTAATACAACTTTCCTCAAAAGAATATTGTTATACCAGGAGGTGGAATTTAATGAAAAACTGCACAAAGGCAAGTTAGGAAAAAAAAAATCAAAGAAGTTCAAATCATTACAATGCTGGCAGTTTTATTGCACAAGTTGCACAACTTGTTAAACCACCCTCTTTGTTTTGAAATCAATTTACGGTATGTGGTTTTTATTCAATAACTATTGAAAAGTAGAGAGTAAAGATATAACACTTATGAACCTGACCAGAGAGCATGAAGCCAAACACAATATAAAAGTATTGTTTTGTTTTTTTGTATGTCATTTACATAATCTATATTTATTCATATTTTTAAGGACAAACTATTCATATTCACCATTTCTCTCTGTGTTTCTGTTTCCATGTGGTGAATTATGGCTTAAGAGGCAGAATATTTCATTTGGTGTTTAATACCTCAGGGAATATATACAGTATAGGTCATAATCCAAAGCAAACTGTGAGATTATGTTTTCCATGTGTAATAACTTTGTGGTTTCTCTCTACAGGACGGATTGTTGGTTGAGATGCGCCCCCTGGTGGACAAATTACTTCACTGCAAGATTAAGATTTCTGAATGTTCACATTTCCATAAATTGGGGAGGGATTTAAAGTTCACGTTTATTGCTGCTTTTTTGGTTCAATACCATAAATTCTGTGTTTAATATAATAACTAAATGAACACAATGACTAATTTTAAACTGTTGCTATTGCTTTACTCTTCATTTTTTAAATGATTTTTACAGTTCAAAATACTAAAACTAAACTCATATAAATTGTACTCATATTTTATTATTTTTTTTATGTAATCAACACATTTATAGGCATATTCCTTGTGCACCCCTTTTGTCTCTTTTTATTAAAAAGTCTAACTGAATCACAGAAAAGTTTTTATTTTATTTTATTTATTTTTACTGTAATTTTTTTATTTTATTTTGGCTGTTAAGTTGCAGACAATCCCACCTGCCAGACTGTTATACCAGTAAATACCTCTCCCACCCACACCCACCCCACCCAGTTGGCCATGATGGTTATGTTGTAAAATTCTGTTTTTCAATGGCTTTGTGTATCAATTTGTTCATGCGGCTGTTACCTGTTTGTTGGTTTGGTTGGTTGGTTTTTAATAACAAATCAGCAATGTGCACTTATGGAGTGTCATTAATAAATTTTAGTGAATAGTAATATTTTCTCCTAGTGTCTCTTTATCCATCAAACTGGATGCCGGATGGATGAAAGATTCAGAAGTATGGAATGGTTTTATGTATGCGTTTTATTATTAGCATGTAGTAAAAATAACAAACCAAAAAAACAACAAGTGAATAAAAAATACTGAGATTGGGAGATTAGGACCAACAAATCTTTATGGACAATAAATAAATAAAAAATCTAAGACATCTCACAAAAAAATGTAAACTGTAAGAACCATGTATTTGTTTCATGACTAAAGTTTGGATAAAAGATTTGTTTTGTTTTTATACACATCTTGTATATTTGATTCATAAACACATTTGTCATTATTACATCTTTGGCCCCAAATAATTGAATATTTGACATTTTATTCATATGCTTACTCAGTTATTTGTTACTTAGAAGTTCTGTAAACGCTAACTGTAATAAGCATTAACTTGATCAAATCTGTGAATGAAATAACTGCACAGGAAGTAAATTTAACAACTTCTTTAAAAGGGAGATGAGTCCTGTATGCTGTAAACAAAACTCAAAATCACGCTTGATCACAAACAGTAAATACAACCAGTAATATGAAAACACATAAATGTAACACTTGTGGAGGTTTGTTACCACAGAATAGTGGAGGGACTTCTCTTCCCAGTGGAACAAACACAGTCAAGGTAAATCCTCAGTAAGGCCTGCTAATCTATAATCCCGCTGGCCCAGTGTTGTCCCCTTCAGACCCTGTGCAAGGCTCGTCCAACAACACAAAGGTCCGGGTGTGATGCAGAGCGTGTTGTCGCTCGGAGTTCTGATTGGCTGCCCCATAAATCCTCGTACCCGGTTGGTTCATCGTCCAGCCTGTTAAAAGGAGTGGAGAATAATTACTTTTGTAATCAGGGAAGTGTGTCACATGGGTTTAAGGTAGATGTTTACACTTATGGTGATTTAACAAGTTTAGTAACTAAAGTTATAGAATTTAACCTGTAAACTTGGAACAAATCTTGTACATAGAGTGTGAAAAACAACTATTCAGAATCTGCTTTATAGTCATTGCACCAAAGCACAACAAAAGTACATTTCAGTACAGCCCGTCCAAGTAAAACACAAACAAACAGACATGGGGAGATGGAGGTGTCTGAGGCTGCGGCCTCGTGGGAGGCGCTGCCCTTTTCGTTTAGATAAGAAAAGAGAAAAACGAGGGAAGAGGAGGTGTGGAAAAAATAATATCTCACACTGTGTCCTAAATGGAACACAATGTGAAAGTTGCAAAAAATAGCCTTAGCACAGAAATAGCAACATAGTGATGATATTATAATACATATGCACGATGGAGGCCAACGAAGGCAGTGAGTTTGTCCATGGACACTGCCAGATAGTTCCATAGTTCTGATAAGAGATGGTGCAGTGTCTATCAGTCGGCTCAGCTCTGATACAGGTCCACAGATGTCCTCAGAAAAAGAGCGGGGAGGGGGAGCAAAGCTTCTTGTTCACATAACATCCAGGAGAGTTTGAGATAGTTGGCCAATTCAATTCGGGGGGGGGGGGGGGGGGGAGCAAAAAACAACAACACAAAATAAAATATCTAAACCAGAGCACACGTGTCAATTTAAAATGCATTTAAATCTCTTTTTTTTGGACAGTTTAAGAACAACAAAAACATACAACTTGCATTAAATAAATAGAATTTCTCTTTTTTTTTTTCTAGAAAAACAATACACCATCTTTTGTTGGATTTGACAGGTGTCAATCAAGAATTATCTTAAAGGTCACGAGAATGACCACAGAGGTCATCTAATAATCATTTCCCCAGCATGTAGCTGAAATGTTCTATTCAAGAATGATCTTCAAGGTTATTGTATGTGTTCCTGCACGAACGATGATCTTCCTTTACTGGCCTGATCAAGTGTCTGATTCGATATATTGGAAAGAGTTATGGCACCTGGAATAATAAAAGGTCTTATCAGAGAGACTTTCATCTTTTGTTCTGCCTCACCACAACTGAGTGAAAAATCATCAGGTTCCTGAATCAATAAAAAAAACCTCAGTCTGAGAAACATTCATCATTTGTCTGCTCTCAGCCACTGCACCATCAGTCTAATGACTCATCTTAATAAATGATCATTTAGACAATAAAACATTTGCATTATTTTAAAAACAACTGAGTCCTGTGAAAAATGAGCAGAAACTTTTTAGAAGTGTGTGTGTGAGTTACCCTCTTGGAAAGTGTCATCTTTCAGAGTTTTTTCTGAAGTGCCTGTTATTTAGGAAAATGTTTGCTTCTTTCTCTTTCCCTAAAAACCTCTTGATAGACTTTTACTTAAATGTTTGTCATCAGTAAATTAATGATCCTCGTGGCTTTTGAATTATTGAGACTCTCGTTGCTTATTTCTCTGCAAACTTTCATTAACAACCTGATTTAATAAAGCTATTGATGAGGTGGGCTACAAAATAGAAATGAACGGCTCTCTTGTTCGTGTAACCCCAGCGTTCATCTACTTTTCACTCGAGACACAGATCCAAGTTACTCACATCTTACGTTGACGAACCAATGATTTTAAAATGGAATTAGATCAGGTAAGAGTGAACCATGATCAGATCTATTTGTTTATTTTGTTGTGATATACGCTGATGTCAACACAAGTCTTTCTCACATTCATGACGGATCCTTGTTCTGAACCACAACCCCCTCAATACAAACACAGATCCATGCATTATCTTTACCTGCGTCTTTCCTTTCCGGGTGGTGTGGTCTCATAGATGTTTCATTTTTAGAAACCTAGAGCCACCCATTAACCTTTATACACCCTCTTTTTATCTCAACAAGAGATCCAGAATATCATTTCTAGGGTAATGTCCATCCTTTTCATCAAGAGTCCTCAGACTGCCCGACCACAGCACACTTTCTTTTTCCAGTCTTTAAAATCTATCTTTTTAAATTATTCACTTTTTCTAAAAATAATAATAATAATCATAATAATAATTTTAAAAGTACCATATCTGTTTTGTAGAGCAGAATACTACAGGTGATGTTTAGACAGTTCCATTAGATGATGGAGGTTAAACCTTTATACCTTTAAATATTTAAAATAAAATGAACAACTTTCAAAATTTAAAAATGAGGTAAGCACTCACTATCTTCCTTGTTTTGCCCACGTGATGTGGCCTACTTCCATTGGCGCGATGTCTGGTCTGTGCATTTTGCTTCTTTTTTTAAAAAAAATCTATTATTTCTTTTAGAAAGTCAGACGCATTATTGTTTGGAGATTGACGGGCAATCTTCAACAAAAAGGTGAATTTTACTTTTGATAATGGCCCTGTGGCGGAAAATCACCTGCACACATGCACTACATGCATGTAATTATTAAAGTAAACACACTTTAAATAAAAATATAGTTAGTCATATAGGTATTTCATTCTTCCTGACTCGTTATATTCAAATAATGAGTAAATATGCAATTATTTAAATATATTCCACATTTAACTTTTTTTTCTGTTTTTTTTTTTTATCCCCAGACACACAATGGAGAGGCGAACATCTGCAACTTTTCGTTGCTTACAGCCAACAAGATCTGAAGACATTGTTGTTTTATCTTATGAGAACCAGCACACTCTGTTTGGCAATACTGGATGATAAAGAAGATGCATCTTTTTTTTTTCATTTTGTTGAACAATGTCAGAGTCTCATTTGCCAAATACCAGTTTAAAGATCTGTCAAGCCTTAGAAAATACCTTAGCTGCTTTAAGTGGAGAATCTTCCCTCAATTTAGATCATTCCAATCAAATGTAAAACCGAATAGCTTTGCTAAACCATTAATTTTCTATCCTACCTAGAGCCATCTCTGCTTGTGGGTTAAGTCATGATCGGAGTATACTGCTGATAAAACGGTAAACTATTTTCACATCTTAGAACACACTTTAAGAGCTCTCCATCTTAATCATCTGCTGGTAGAAATTGATCCTTTTAATGAAATTCCATTGCCGAGTCAAATAAATAACTCAATTCCTCAAACTAAAAGAGCACTCGCCTCAGATCTACTTAATTTCCTCCCCAGAGCACAGACAAAATGACCAAATAATATCGCCTGCAAACCAAAACCAGAATGAGCAAATTGCACATCCCTCAAATCAAATTCAGAAAGGTTCAGGAACCCTCATCCTCCGCTTTCATTAAAATGTTATTGTATTAAGCTATTTGGAGTGTTTTCTTGGTTGTTTTGCCATTTTGCATGTAAAATAAAATTAGGTTTTTGACAAATTTTTCAAAATAAAATAGCTAACACAAACTGGCTCTCAAACGAGATTACAGAATTGCAGTCTAAATTAAGATTTGATTTTTACAGCTATTGTTTGAACGTTGAACATTAACTGCAATTTATCATTTATCTAATTTATCTATTTAACGTTCACCAAATGATTACTCTAAATAAATTGTTGAAGCGTTTTTTGTTCTCAATAAAATTACATATAGATGACTTTTTATCTCAAATTGACACAATATATATATGCAATTTTGAAATGAAAAAAAAAAGTTGTGGGCAGGTACTTGACTTTGACTACAGCAAGAAATCCAAGTTTTCACTTATCCCTTAAATTGCAATTTATTGTGTATAGGTTTAATTCACAAAACAGTTCCAACAAAAGTAAATGGTTGAGAATACCACAAAGTGTTAAAGCCTTACCCCTTTGAAGATATTGCTGGCTCACTCCCACAAATTTCAGCAACAGAAAAACCTTGAGGTTGTTGGGCCATACTCAGACTAGGTCTTCGGTCTGAGTGGCTGCGTCGAACCAAGGATCTAGTTCTTTGAACGGACTCAGAGAACCTCCCTCGACTCCCCCAAAATCTTGAGAGAACAGAAACTCTGGTAGAAGTCCATGCTTGAGGTGGTTGGGGAGCTGAACAAGGCTGGGCCTCAAACATAGATGGAGAGCTGGGACAGAAAACTGAACGAGCGTTACTGAACGTTCGAGCACCAGACGAGTCCTCGTTGCTGTTCTCCCTTGACCATCTTTTTACTTTTGGCGATGCAGGTGGAGATGGGGCTTTAAAAGAGTATGATTGGGCTGAGTTTGAGTTTAAAATGTCCTTCTTTAAAACAGGAGGGCTGGGAAGTCTCTTCTGAAGATCTGGTGGTGCAGGGAGTGTCCTAACGGGGGAAGTAACGGTTGAGGGTGGCATAGATGGACTTTTTAAACTGTGGGGACTGGGAAGTCGTCGATGTAAGCTGTTTGAAATGGGTGGTGTAGAGGGAAGGATTCGTCCTCTGGTGATTGGTGGGGTGGCAGGTGGTTGGCTGGTGGCTACTGGAACAGTAGGCACTGTATAGGTTGATGCGCTAGTTTCAGGCACTGTTGTTTCTCCTTGAACTTTAGATGTTGCTACACATTTTGTTGATGACCTCTCTGGGTTCGAGTCTGAAGATTGTCTTAGGTTTATGATCTTTTTGGCTTGCTGAAATAAAGAGTCTGTTCCTATTCCTGGATGTGGTTGAACATCTGATTGGCTGACCTTTGATGAAACGGATGTTGCTTGTTGATCCAACCTAGCTGTAGAAACCACCTTTGAAGATTGTGGCAGTCCTCCTTTGCTTGGTAGCACTGTGACAGACTGAACTGAAGCCCTTAGTCGATGTGATACTGCAGCTCTTTTTAACACAGGTGACTTACCTACTTTTGTAGCTCCATCTCCTGCAGCAGGAGATGGGACACTTTCAAAAGAATTGTCCATTAGTACTTCTAATGGAGGAGGTGGAAGACTGTCCAGATCAAAACAATCAGTTTTCCCTGGCACTGTGGATTCCAGTCTACAACTTGTTAAGCCAGCACTGAGCACAGCTTCTACATTGCCTAAACCAGGCAGAACTGGAACGCCACATCTTCGTACACCTTTCAGAGCCCCAAGAAATTGAGGACCTTCTTTGTCCTCTATTCCTTGACTGAAGGTATCAATCAGTTTTTTGACTGAATTCCTGCCTCTATGAAGACCAGAGGATGGCCGTGGTGATAAAGGTGGACTAGGTGGTGGAGTGACTTTTATAGGACCCCTGGATGTTTTTGTCTCCTTTTGTTTATCCTCTTCCATATCATTGGTTGGTCCCACTTTCTTATTTGTATCTTTAAGTGGCTGGGCATTACTGTCTTTACCTTGTGAGGAATGTTTACGATTTATTGTTGGTAGATGGTTTGATGAGTTTCTTTGAACGGATTTTAATGGAGCCGTCCTTGTGTTTTCTCCCACTTTGCTTTTACTCATCCTCTGTAACCTCTGGTTTAAGTTCTTTTGTGTCCTTTCCAGTTCAAGTAACGTAGGATCTTCACCTCTACTTCGAAGCGATTCTGCTGAACGGGAACGTTGCCCTCTTGTCACTGGTTTCTTTTTCACTTCCGCCGTCTGAACAGCTGCTGCTGTCTGAGGCCTTTTTGGAGATTGCAGTTCCTCATCTGTCCACTCCCGTCTAATGGTCTTGGGGCTTCCAGCTACTTTAAAATGAGCAGCGGTGTTCTGTTTTGGTACAAACTGTATTTTTCCACTTATAGCTTTTTTCATTTTAAGAGTCATTTCTACATTTTGAGGATTTTCTATGCGTTTTATTGGTGGACGGTGAGTAGGTTTTTCACTGCTGACCGGTGAAGAATTAGATCGCATTCTAAATGCTACTTGGACATCCTCCACTTCTCGGTCTACCTCTTCCTCATCATTGTTGTCATCTTCTCCATCGTCTAAGGAGACTGAGCCTAATACTGAGTCTTTCTGGTCATTGGGCGTTATGGTACATGTAGAATCAAGTGAGTTTAGTGAAGTGAGGGATACACTTTGACTTATTTGAGTCTGATACTTTTGCCTCGATGCTCCACTTAAATTTATGGATGTGTTCTTCCTGCGACTGACTATACTTCTGTTTGTGCCAGTAGACCCACAACTCTCTCGCCTATGACATTTTTCAGATCCATTTAAGGATTCATTCTCAGCCCCAATACCGCTGTCCTCACTAAACAGAGCAGAATCTTCTGGTCCAGGTTTTTGCAGAGAGGCCATTTCAATACGGGTTAAGAGTTGCATTAATCGAACCTGAGCTGCATGTTTAGCTTTCAGTTTCTCCTCTAAAAGCTCTGACACTGAGGCAAAATACTCCACTGCTTCCTCCAAAGCAGAGTCCCCAATTCCACCAACAGTGTGACTCACATTTCTCATTCTCTGTGTGGTGTACTGTAGCAGCTGCTGCAACAAATCCGGTGGAGGTTGATCAATAACAGAGCCAGACTTTCGTGGTGGAGAAGATGAGAGATTTTTCATTTGGCTTGTCCAAGCAAGATGTTCTCCATGTTCTTTTAAAAGTTTTTCTCCCTCCTCTGCCATCTCTCCCAGTCCCTCAATGATTTCCTCGTAACGTAAAGCCATGAAGGCAACCATTGTCTGCACAGAAACCTGAGTTTGTGTAACTTGCTCCAAAAGTCCAAGTAAAGAATCGTATTTGTTTATGCTAGGGTTCAAAAAGGCATAGGCAGCTTGATGAGCTTCCACCAAAGGTTCTGGAAAATCCACTTTTTGATCCGTAAACACTTTGTTTTTGTCCACGTCTTTTTTCTTAGGAGTTCTTCCACTTTTGTTATTTTTCTTTGTCTTTTTGCAAGATTTTTTATCTACTAAATCTTGCTTGTCCATGATTTTCTCTTTTCTCAGTGATGCTGTGCTATTGTTCATTACCCGATTTTCTAATTTGCTGATGGCCACTGCTTCTACGTTCACTTGCTTGGGGACAGGTCTCTTTTTCTGTGGTGTCATTTGTTCCTCTTGAGATGTTAGGATGTGCAGAGCTCCTTTTTGCTCTTTTATATCTCCATTTGTAGCTCCAGTAGAGTTATAATTGTCTTCATCTTCGTGAGGAGGATGTTTTTCTTGAGGCACAAAGGGTAGCATTCTCCCCTTCTTCATGGTACCCAGAGTGCCAAAATTGTTACCTTTTGATGGTGAGCAGCCCATTTTTGATTCGTGAAAAACAATTGAGCCGAAAAAAACAGTAATGAAAAGACACCTAAGGTCCTTAGCCACCTACTGTGTCTTTCAATATCAGATGGCTAAAGTTGTAGAGCCTAGTACAATCCCTTTCAGCTAGGAGACTTCTGAAACAAAATGCGTATAAATCCATTATAAAACGTCCACCTTTCACAAATGTGCAAAACAAATCCACAAACTGATGATCATGTTGATAAAAATTTCCTTGTGGCGTGCTCTAAGATTCATTCCTCCCTATGTTACAAAGACAAGTAGCTGAGAGGATTAGTGGGGCTTTCAGTGCACTCCTCTGCCTGGGCATATGTCATGCAAAGCAAATAAAACTCACGTACTTGTAAGAACATAAGCTCATTTAGGTAATGAGGGCTGGTCTAAGGTGACTTTTTATAGTCAGCTAAACAATATCTTACTATTTAACTCTTGTAGCAAAGCAGAGATAAAGTAAAAGGAACACTGAAATAAAAATGTTTAATCTTTTCTTGTTTTTTTATTGTTGGCAAATGTTCACATTGATGTAGTAAGTTGATAATTAGTTGGACTTATAAAAAAAACCTACAGTTTAAACATATACCAAAAGATCCAGCTGTTTTCTTTTATAAAAGCTTTTTATTTTTTTTCTCCAGATCTTTGACCATCAATCAACTGTGCAAGATTTTCATTATTTATTGAGCTTTTAATATTTTTAAGAAGATTTAAGTAAATAACTGCACACAAATTATAGAACAAATGGAACAACAGATGGACAAAAAAAAACAATTATGTATATATATATATATATA